CTCAGTACAGCCCCACTTCGTTTCAGTTACGTATGTGTCGTGTTTTAGTTCCAATTGGCGTCTTACATTTGGTATTTTATCTTTTCTGGATTTGTCAGCCGATCTTCTCCAAAACTCCATCTCCGTGGCTTTTAGCGTTTTCTCAGCTTTCTCTTTTAAGAGCCATACTTCAGAGCTGTGGGTAATTATGCTTCTTACGATGGAATTGTAAATTCTTTTTCTGTTTTCTATCGTTATATTCTTATCCCATAGTATTCAATTTAGCATGGAAACTGCTTTTCTGCCTTGCATATTTCTTTCAATATTGCTTCATCAGTGTTCTGTCTTTTACTGGATATTTTCATTCCGAATATTTTTCTCTTGCTAGTCGTTGAGCTTGTTGTTGTCCACCAATGCACATGTATTCCGTTTTTTTTTAATATACAACTTAACGAACACAAAAACATATTGCAAAAAAGTGAAGCAATGAAGTCAACTCTTGCCGACCATGTTTCGTCTAAGCACTACAACATAAAATCGTCGGAAGCACGGGTTGTCTACAAGGAACACCATTGGAAAAAGTATAAATTTAGAGAAGCTGTTTTCATAACATCTGCAATAATAACATCTTCAATAAGCCAAGTATTTTTAGCAACCATTTATTATAGTAAAGTCCGATATTCTTTTAATTTCAATTGGTAATAAACAATGCAAAAAGTTTTAAAAAGGATATTAAAAAATATCTTATTTCATCTGCTTCAAAGATATTAAGAAAATGTTTATTCACTTTGCTTGACACTGTTGATACCCGACCTCTAAGTGAATTATATAAACATATACAAGTACACGCGAAGTTAAAAATACGCAGCTAGAGTACGATTTTATCCGCCGATCTATATTTAGTCGAGGTTTCTTCTAAATTTAATCGACCATAACTCGCCAATCGATCGCCTCCGGATACGTTGTTTTGATGGTAGCTTTTCATTGGCAATGACTCTTGCTTTTTTTCTCATTCAACCTCTAGCTCAGATCGTAATGGTCTATTGATATAAACATCAATTTCGCGGTAAAATTTGCACGTTTTTTGTACCTCGAAAACACAATTAAATATAATGGTAGGTGTTATAGAGGTGGAATTTTGTTTATGCTGTAGCCTCCAGACATTTAATAATGAAAAAGCATTACATAATTATGTTTTTTGAGCTTATTCCGAAGCTTTTACAAACGGAACAATCTGTATAATTATACAAACTTTCCAGTACATAGCGTGGAAATGAAAGTTGCATGACGAAAGAAGATGCCCTAGTTGAATTATAGATTAATGGTAGAATGGTAGATTAGATTTTTGAGGTGGCTATTTAGCACTGTGTTTGTGATGTGTAGATGTTTTCAGCTGCCTCGTGTGTACATGTAATCCGTGCACTTGAGGCTCGCTGGAATTATCAGTGTCGGATTAGGAAGTTCGATTTCAAGAACTACAAAAATGTTATTAGCGTGAAATATTTATAGCCAATTAGCGATGGGCAAATGCAAGACCAAAGCAAGCGTCCCTTAGTCTTGCAATTCTTGCATTTTTAAATACTCAGCCCTTTTTTACGAGAGGAAATTTCTACATAGAAGATGTATAACAAATAGTATTTTTAGTATGTAAATAAAACTTGTCTGTCTGACGAAAATCTTTATTTTTCAATATTCTATACAGAATTGAATCTTAAATAAGTGCAAAATATTTTCTGGGCTGCCAGGGCTGGTAGATCTCGATAAAACAAAACATATGTTCTCTTTACCTTTTTTCAAATACATAGAGGAAGTCCAAAATAACCGAAAAAAAAAAAAAAAATTATTTTTTGTTTAAATTTTGAGAACCACTGGATTTTTTCTGGGCATTTCTTTCTTGTAAATTTAACAATTTTTGTTTTTTATCTAAAACCCAAAAAAAATTTGCCAATTTTTTTTAAACTTTAAAATTTTCAAAAAGTTTTTTTCGCGAAAAAAACACCATGATCGTGTTTCTGGGGTCGAAATATACAGGGTGTCACAGAAATAAGTGCAAGTATTTTAACTGGAAGTATAGTTCAACCCAAGAAACACGACTACGAGTTTTTTTTTTGCCATTTTTTTTTGAAAATTCGAATTTTTTTGAAAAATTTTTTGGAAATTTTTTTAGTTTTTAGTTAAAAAACATAATTTCTTGATAATATGGCAACATAAGTATTAGATTAAATTTACAAGAAATAAAATACAGAAAAGATCTAGTGGTTCTCAAAATTTTAGCAAAAATCATTTCTTTTTGGAAATTTTCAAAATAAAATAACTCCGTTATTTGAGACTTATTTGAAAAACGATAAAGAGAAAATATGTTTCTTTTATCGAGATCTTCCACCCCTTAAAATACTTGCACTTATATCTGGGACACCCTGTATTACCCCTAAAAATATTTACACTTATTTAAGGCTTACCCTGTATAGACTTTTACTTTGATACCTGTGTTGACTCTTATTTTTTTCTTAAATTTTTTAAAAAAACAATAATTTCGAACAAATAAGCAATTTCTTATATCATATAAACGTAAAAAATGCAAGACTGCAAGGCTCTTGCATGATTGGTCTTGGTTTTGTGAAAATCTTGCACTGGTAGGTATTGGTCTTGCTTTTTGTGCAATTGGTAGCCTTAGATTGATGATTTGTAAGCCCCAAAAAGTATTTTATGAGTGCGATCGCACAAACATTTTTTTAAATTTTTTCCATAGCTACTGTTAAAATTACCTTATATCTATCAAAAATAGTAGATAAAAAGTACTTTAACCGCAAGGGTAGATTAAATGATACTTTAACAGCAAGGATAGGTTAAAAACTTTATTTCTTCTCGCACGTTTTTTAATTGCTTCCATTTTTGAAAATTTTTGTATTCCTATTTATAAGTTATTCGGGATTTAAATGGAAGTAGTTTGGATATGGCGTTTGTCGCCTCAGCCTGAATATATGTTGGTAATTTACTTATTTCGTTTTGAGTCATTTCTGGTTCCAATTCAATCAGCAATCGACAACAAAAGAAACAGCTTTATTTATTTTTCAAATTACATAGAAACCAAAGGCAACCCAGCACAATATTTTTTTCTACTCGCTATGGAAAAAATATTGTTTTATACACGACGATAAAATACCATTTTATCGTCTTGTATAAAAAATAACTATTGTTTTTGCACCCCCAAGATGTTAAAGTACGCTTAGCCACTGATTTTTATTCTGTTTTAGACAAAAATATCCAATTCAGCCAATTTCATCAATAATTCTACCATACCTTTAGTTTTGTTTTGGTTCAAATAGTTATATTATTTTTTATATGCAATATTTTATAAATGAAATTGAACTCATCAGAAGAATTTTTTCGTTAAAAAAATTATTGAATTTTTTTGTAGAGCTTTTTTCAACTTACCGAATGCTGTTATCTGATCCACCCCTACCCAAAAGCACATCAGCAGCGACACCACCAAAACCCCCACACGACTCATCATCCTCTTCTATCGAATTTCAAACCCTCCCCCGACACCTAATCCGCATAGAAACCTCCGAACCGATCGCGATACCCCGTCACAACCGATTTTTTAACACCGATTTACGATACAACAGTACCCGCTGCGGTTGTACTTCGACTGACTGTGCGATAACAACAAACCGCTGCTGTAGCGTTGGCGATCGACGGCAACCGACGATTTCTTCAATCGCAAGATCGATCTTCCTGCACCGATGTGGAGGAAGAAGAACGCTGTGACGGTAGGTAGTGACTGCTGGCGAAATGAAGACGAATGCAGACTGTTTGACATTTCTTAGCGACGGACGGTCGCTTGTCGCTGGAGAGGGGTCGATGAGCCAGCCGCAGTTTGGACGACGCTTTTTTTTCTGCTTCTTCTAGTGTTTTGTTTTTGTTATGCTCTACTTGTTTTCTTTCGGTTCACTGTTACGGCTCATTTAGATATATGTAGAATGTTTTGTTATGTGGGAGTAGGAATCTAAACATACCGGCACAATTAGGAGAACGAGAAAAAATTGGTCAAGTGCGAGTCGGACTCGCGCACGAAGGATTCCGTACCATTCATTATCTATACAACATTAGACACTATATTATTATAAACTTCTTTTCCGATTTAGCTGAAATTTTGAATGCGCGTATAAGTAATTAAAAAAAAAATGAAGAAACGCATTACTAAAAATTAAAAATTGTATTAATCAATAATAAATATGTAAAAAATAAAAATAAATATGTAAAAACATGTAAAAATTAAAAAAAACGATTAAAAAAGTTGCCTGGGCTAGGATTCGAACCTGCCTTACTACGGCTCCAACGTCATAGCAGCGTAAAGTCCTAACGCTTTAACCACGCGGCCACCGAGGACTTGAAAGATTCTACGTAAAATTCTTACTTAAAAAGATAATATTTAGTGAAAGTACTTTTTTATTTATAAACATTTATTTAATTCTGTTTTTTAGTATTTGTTCTTATACTGGCAATATAGATACATTATCTGTAAAAATTTCAACTGTCTAGCTATAACGGTTCATAAGATTTGTGACAGACGGACGGACGGACGGACAGCGAAGTCTTAAGCCGGAGTCTCATGCATCCGAAATCCGATGACACGACGATCCGACGGTGCTCCTATTGGTCGAAATATTTTGACAACAATTTTTATCCGATAATTTTAACTAATCATCCGACCTCGTATAAAGTTAAATTTTGTTTAACTTTTGTACGATATCGTGTGTTTTTTAACCTCACTTTTTTTGAAAACATTTGTTTTTAAAAACAAGTTTAGTGGGAAGTGGGCAATTTCGGGATATTTGGCGAGGAAGTTATTTTTATAAGTGTTTCTCCAATAAAACATGACATGAATCTCTATTCAGCCAGCAGAAAAATGTTAAAACTATCAAATTTCGGAACGAACTTTCGGATGTATGTGACAGGCTTTTTTTATTTCACACGATAACTTCAAATTTCGGATGTCGTACCATCGGATTTCGGATGCATGAGACTCCGGCTTTAGTAATGAACCCTATTACTAACCTAATCTAACCTAACCGTTTTTACCCTTTGGGTTCGGAACCCTAAAAATGACACAATACTTTTTTTCCTGTTAAACCTTCTGATAAATATTATATGACTTGTTATAAATGATTCCTTCTTATACCGGTTACATCTCAAAAGTGGCTCACCCCTATAACTATTTTATTTCTTCAGATGAAAAATCGAGATTTGGTAGTTAGTATATGACATAAATTAGGACTAATTGACGCATTCACTTGCTTTCGTCACTTCCTGTTTCACCGGAAATTACTACAACCTTTGATTTTCAAATGGTAGGTACCCTCAGTATTTTGTTACTTTATTAGATGAAAAATGACACTGAATGACACTCTGAATAGAATGACATATCATATATCACATATTATGGTTTATTTGAAATTGTAATATGCGATTCATAACGATAATTTTACTCGAAATACCAAGTGTGTAGTACCAAATTATTCATAAAAAATGCTTTTTCCAAATATGCTAATGAGCCACCGTCATTCCATTTGAAAAAATGAGATGATTGAAAGTACGATTTGAGCATCTTTTAACAGGCTGGGCCAAGACACTAAAACATCAGACTTCAGAGTTTGGAGAATGTTCAATACACTAACTGCAACCTAAACAACCTAAAAAGACTCAGGGCAAGAACACGTATAAAATTCATCACAGAACTCCAATACGCCGATGACTGCGCTCTAGTTGCAAATACCTTACAGCAATTACAAGAGATGCTGAACACATATATCTGGGCATACGAGACCTTAGGTCTTAAGCTGAATATCGATAAAACTAAAATCATGTGCACTCCCACGAAAAATCATAACAGCGTTATAAAAATCGGAGAAGAACTATTGGAATATGTATCGGAATTTAATTACCTCGGCCGTTTGATTTCGGAAAAGGCAAATATCGACTCTGAATTTCAGCACGGAATTAGCAGCGTTTCAAGAGCAAGAGCATTCTGGAAATTAAAAGACAGGGTTTTCTACAATCATGACTTGAGTACAAAAACGAAACTTGCAGTGTATCGAGCAGTAATAATACCCACCATGTTATTTGGAAGCGAAACCTGGGTGCCGTAAAGCCGGCACACGAGCGCATTAAACAAGTTGCAACAGAGGCACCTTAGACTACTGTTAAGAATTAAATGGTACCACCATGTCTCAAACGTATCAGTCCTTGAAAAAGCAGTCTGCGAGAGCGCTGACGTCATGATTACTAAATCTTGCTTAGGATGGGCTGGCTACGTATGCAGGATGCAAGAAAACCGCCTACCGAAATCTCTTTTTTACGGTGAACTTGTAGAGGTTAAGAGGAAACCGGGTGGACAACTCAAAGATAGAAGGATGTTTTCCATGAAAACTTAAAGTGGATAAGTATGCAGCATCAGTTGGAGGAAGCAGCGCACAATAGAACGTAATGGAGGAGAATTGTAAACTTAGTTAACCAACGACAACCAAAAAGTAAAGAGGCAACAATGTACTGAGATTTTTATATGTCCGGAGTGCGGAAGAGAGATAACATCACGTATCGGGCTTTTCAGTCACAGAAAAGCTCATGAAAGAAAACGCCTGGCGTGACCATCTTTTGATGCGTGTCAAATACTCGTCAGCGAGTAATGGCAGTAAGTAAGTAAGGATTAATACACTTTTTTAAGTAAATAAATGACAATCTAGTAATTTTCTGTTTACACCTAGTTGGTATTTATTGGGTATCTTCATTTTGTACCGTAAGATTTGTACTATTTATATTATTTGGCCGAGATCTTATAGGCTTTAGCCTGTAAGTGTTTTTAATATCCACTTTGAATAATCATTAAACAAACTCTTTAACATCGGTTTTGATTTAAAGCTGTAAATTTGTTGATTGAAGCTTCGTATGAAAAGTCAAAACGACCCACTTCTATACATCTTCTGCCGTTATCTTTCTAAAGTTTAGTGTTACATCGAACAAGAAATTATATATGCGAATAACAGACCAAGACGTATATTTGCCATATGATCTAAACAATTTTATTTTTTTGCTGTGCTTTACTGTTAGAAGGAGCTATTGATAGTATTTTACCATATGATATATTAGTATTTAGGTAAGTATGTAGGTTTACTAGTTTTATTTTTGGGCATTTAAAAATATGGACTAAATATTTGTGCTTTTAATACAATAGCATTTATGGTTTCATAGAGGGTCATATTAAATTATTGTTCATAATCATAATAAAATAAATAAAACTGGCGTCTGATTTTTGGATAGATAGTTTGTTTTATAGGAATTTCAAATGTAGACTCAGTCAAGGATACTGAAAGAAAGAGTCAAACATGAATAATAAAAATATTTTTAATAGCTTTTTTTATGCAAACATTTTTGGGACTGGTAGATCTTGATAACGGAAACATATTTTCTCTTTACCGTTATTTTAGTTAGAAAATTTCAAAAAAAAATTCTTAAATTTTCAGAACAACTGGATCTTTTTTGGGTTCCTTCTCTGTTAATTTAATCTACTACCTACATATGTTGCCATTATCTTTGATGTTATCAAGAAATTATGTTTTTTTTTAATTAAAAACTAAAAACATTTTTTCAAAAAATTCCAAATTTTCAATTTTTTCGCAAAAAAAACGAGAAAAAAACTCATAATTATGATTATTGTTAGTTCCCAGTAGCTAATATGCAGATAAAAAAAAATCGTGGGTGTTTGGGAAGGCTTGAAAGGAAACAATGCTTTTGCGACGTTTCGCGACTTTATTGTCGCTTCTTCAGGCACCAAAACATATATTAATCCACATTATGCCTACAAACATCGATTCGTCTATATGTGTCTTAGTGTTGGCGGTTGGAGTCGCCATGAATGTTTGTAGGCATAATGTGGATTAATATATGTTTTGGTGCCTGAAGAAGCGACATAAAGTCGCCGCGAGTAAAAACTGTGTTTCTTTAAGCCTTCCCAAACACCCACGATTTTTTTTTATCTGCAAACCTCATAATCTTTTTTCTGGGGTCGAAATATACTACTCCTAAAATATTTAAAACTTATCCTTATTTAAGGCTCATCCTGTATAAATTATTTTACAAAATCTAGAGATCAAATAAAAATCAATTGCTAATTGAAAATCTTTATTAACATAAAATAATAAAATTATTTATAATATTTAACAAAAATTTTAGTGAAATTTTTCAAATAAACTCATTAGAATGGAGTATTAAGCTATTGAACACTTCGACTAGATAATAGATAATAATTCTCTATGTTACAAATTACAAATTACAAGTTGGTCGCCAAACAGGATATCAAATGTCCGTCAAAAATATCAACATACTTTGACACAAAAAATAAATATCAAAATAAAATATAAGTACTATGGACGGTTGTACTAAGCTACATTGATACTGAGTGTGATTTAATTTTTACAAAGTATGCGTTTTATTTAGCTTCCTATGATTTTATCTTGCTTCCTTTGACATTAAGTGTCAGACGGTCAGACAATTTATTTCCATCTGTCAGAAACCGTATTATTTGAATTTCCTGTATTATAAATACTGCCTGCCCCCTTAAGAGTTTAAAAAGTGTATTTATAAAAAATATATCTCGTATATTAGCTCTTTATTGATATCTAATAGTTGATATTAATAATATTCCGTATAATCAAAAAAAAACAGCGCAAAATTGGCTCGGAAATGATGCTGCTTATTGAACAAATCGTCACAATATGACATGGCCAGATCTATTGTTTTACATCACTTGACGTTTAAAGTCATAGGCTACTGGTTAAAATGAAGAAAAATATATTCTTTAAAACTAAATCTTAAATAACTTAAAAACGATTTATTTTAGGTATAGGAACATGTATAGTCAAAAGGCAACTAATCGAAAAGCTCTTTCACTAGTGAAATAAAAAAAGGGGGTTTCCATTTGAAAAAAATGATTTATAATAATTTTTTCATCGCTCAATTCTATGACAGCTGGGGCCATTATTATATGACATTCGAACAATTTAATTTTTGAAATAGATAGCCACATGTTTTCTCTTTATGGCACAGTGGCTGTGGTAATTACTAAATTTGATGTTCAGGTTATTCACATATTTTTGACAGGCAGTTTATTTCGTTCAAAATTTTAAAATATTTTTTTTTCCTAAAAACGGTTAATGTTAGGTATAGAATGTTTAATATCAAAATTCATAAAATTTTACAGAGAATTTAAGTATGTAAATAAAAAAATGAGGGCACCCATTTAAAATAAGAAAGTTGCTGTCAACTTCCAGTATTTCCGTAAGTACTGCCATATTGAAAATATTTTTAATCGATAGATCTCATTGTGAAACTATGATGTGCAAAAAATCTCAGAGCTAGATGTTGTAGTTCTCTAGAAACTTCTAATGCATGCTCAGCCTGGGACACCGTGTATACTAAAGCTACAATATAAAGTTATTTTTAAAAGAGTGTCCCAAATAAATAAAAATGTAAAAGTTGTTTTTTTTTTAAACGAAACACCCTGTATCTTATTACATTTTTAGTTTCTACGATTAAAATACAGGGTCCGGCAATAGTGCGTCGGGCATCTGTAGCTCCTAGAATAAAAAACTTGGGAATTTTGTTTAAGTGCAGACCTAAAGTATGTACCAAGATGTATTTCGGGAAAATATTTTAACTTCTATAGGGTGGCTCAAAAAAGTGTGAGTGGACCTGGATGATTTTTTTTAAATGGAACACCCTGTATATTATTGCATTTTTGGCTACCTTTCAGATCACTTTACATAACCCTAAGATATGAATAAATATATTTCGATAGTTTCAGAGATATTAAAAAATAAATCAAAAATATATATTTTTCAGCCCTTCTTAAAAAAATTATTAAAAATACAAAAACTGTGTCCTGAAATCAAAACTATATTGAGTTATTTGCGATAGATGGTCTGTTCTCACTTTGCTATAAATATGATAATCGCCAAATCATACAGGATGTTCAATGATTCTGCGCCAAACTTTCTAAAATATAAAATATTTTTTCTTTGTTTGAAAACACCCCGTATATTATTTTTTATTAGGTGGAGAGTGTGTCAAATTAACATTTTTGTATTTAGAGTATTTCAAAATTCTTAACGATTTCGTAAATACACGCAGTTATTATTTCATATGGCGCTTTCAATGGTAAAATATGAGAGAAAAATCATTGGTTGGCTTTGATAAAAATTTACTGTGGAAAATGCCATATGAAATATAAAACCGCAAATATCTGCGAAACTGTTCAAAATTTTGAAATACTCTAAATACAAAAAAATGTTCATTTTTAATTCTCCGTCTATTGAAAAAATAATATACAGGGTAATTCCATTTAAAAACCAAGAAAAATTATTTTATATTTTAGTAAGTTTGGCGTAGAATTTGAACATCCTGTATAATTTAAGATTTTCATATTTATAGCAAAGTAAGAACAGACCATCTAATGTAAATACTCTAATGTAGTTTTGATTTCAGAAAAGTTCTTTGTATTTTTAATAATTTTTTTAAGAAGGGCTGAAAATATATATTTTTGATTTATTTTTTTATATCTCTAGAAAACTATCGAAATATATTTATTCATATCTTAGGGTTATGTAACGATCTGAAAGGAAGTCAAAATGCAATAATCTACAGGGTGTTGGCATTTAAAAAATCAATAATAGGTCCACTTTCACACTTTTTTGAGCCACCCTATAGAAATTAAAATATTTTCCTGAAATACATCCTGGTACATACTTTAGGTTTGCACTTAACAAAATTCTCAAGTTTTTTATTCTAGGAGCTACAGATGCCCGACGCACTATTGCCGGACTCTGTATATATAGTTAAATTTGAGGATTGATAATTGATATTTTACTAGCCATTAATTTACTTTTTGTGTCAACTGATAATGATTGCATTTTTGACAGACAATGAGATTTCCTAATTAATTTGGTTGGTTGACGGCAAGTCCGCGTAGATGGCGCTAGGTCCCTCGGTGCTGCACACGGACTCTTCCGGTGTCCTGGATGGCTCCGCTTCTGTCACTTCCGTTTCCAATTCCTTTGCGTTTGTCTTTGTCCTTGTGCCTGGCATGCAAACTCTGAAATTCATAAAAAATACCCTAAATAAATAAATATATTTTTTTGTAAATATACTTGGATAAATAGATAGATAGATAGATAGATATATTTCATATCAATTAAACTTTTAGTTACGTAATCGAGAGGGCGCGATTTTTAAATTCATTGTTGCCAACCATGGAGATATTAGGCGCCGTGTTGACTAACTGGAATTTAAATTTCGCGCTGGGGATTCAGGCAGTAGCTCTGCTGTAAAAAATGTGAAGGCACATTTATTTATTTATTTCTGACATTGTCATTCGTTTGGACACTTTAGTTTTGTATTACGAGATTTTGGTTTAAATAAGTAGTGTTGTAATACTTTAAGCTTGAAAATGTTTACTAGCAGACCCTGCAGTCGAACATTGTTCTTTTTAGCACCTCTTTTAGTGCGAAGTGGGGTACAAGATAGCTTAACATAGCAGTAACAAACTCATCGCAAATTTGCTGAGAATATTCTGAACAGGAAAGTGGTAGTAATGGTCTTTTTTATGTCCCTTAAGTGCTGTTAAGACGAATTTGGTTAATGTAAATAATACCTGTTTATATATTTATAATTAATTTATTTTTGTTTTGGTTTGGTTTCTGACTAACCTAAAATATTTTGATTAAAAAGTAAATATATAAAAGTGGGCAACGCTGCGCCGGTGAAGCTTAATCACGTGACTAAAAGTTTATTTGTTATGAACTGTAGATATATACTTTCTAGTTCAGGATATGGTAAACCACTATACAACAAGACATATTCTAATAAATAACAGATTAATAAAGAAATATTTGCTAAATTTGACACCTTAATCAGATTTTTTGCTACAGGAAACATCACCTAGTCAGTAGAATCCATATATGTACCGTGTGATCGAATAAAAATGGCATCACAGTGGTTGCTAAAATAACTTTTCAATACGACTTTTACTATGTCTATGTCTAAAGCTAAGTGACAGCAATTGTTGTGTAAATAAACTTTTTAATTTTACAAACAAAAAATGTTAGTTCATAAAAATTATATAGAGCGCCGCTTGATAAAAAAACGTCAAGTTACCTTATAAATGACAATGGTGCGTCTCAAAAGTGGCCCACCCCTACAACTTTTTTATTTTTTCAGTTAAAAATCGAGATTTAGTATGTTAGTATATGACACAAATTAGGATTGATTGATCTATTCAATTGTTTTTAGTCACTTCCTGTTTCACCGGAAAGGATTACAACTTTTTAATTTTTAAATGGCACCCTCGGTATTTTTTACTTTATTCGATAGAAGATGACAGCCTGAATAGAATGACATATCATATGTCAACTTTTGACATTCTCGCTTAAAAAAATCGTAGTTTAAATTTCAATGTAGAGTGCCATGGCTATGTTAAAAACACTAATTTTTAATAAAGGAGCCTTGGAAAAATAGATTTGTTTGTATATGTTTTTAGTGTCTTGTCCTGGCCGGTTAAAAGATGCCCAAATCGTATTTTTGGAACAAAATGGAACAAAAGGGTGGCTCATTAGCATATTTGGATAAAGCATTTTTTACGAATAATTTGGTACCATACACTTAAAAATAGGAGGATACCATTTAAAAATCGAAAGTTGTAATCATCGTTAGACACTTAAAGATGGAACAGAAATTTTTCTTAATTTTAATATTTTAATATTTTCATTTGATCATCCGGTATTTTTTACCATGCAATATTTTGAATATCAACTAAATCTTTGCTATTTAAACCTGTTTGTGTACATTTGTTGATAAATAATTATGCGTTCTATGGCTTTCATTTGGAATTTTTTATTTTAGATATAATTTCGGGAAAATGGGTTTGCATCAGTTTTCTGAATTTTTCAGATTGCAACAATAGACATTGTAACAATACAAAATGAATAGTAACATTTTTTTTGAGAAGGTAACAATAACAACTAACACATAAACCAAAAATACATTTAACTTCTTGTTTCCGATATACTCGTATACGATTCTTGACATTTAGGTGAATGATTTTCTTACTAAAATTTATTATTTTATTTATTATTTTAATACCATTCATAAAAAATACCCTAAATAAAATCTGAAATTTGATGTAATTATTTAATTCTGCTTTGATTTTCGAATTTTGTTATTTTCTTTGTATACTTAGTATTTAATAATGGAACGTAAATGTTTATCTGATACTGAAAAAAAATCTAGAATTATTAGTTTGTAAAAGCAAAATTGAATGTTTTTTAAAATGTTTTTTATAATTAGCTTCTAGTTCTTGTACTATCACAGATATCATAATATGTGTTATCTGTCGTAGTATATTTTAAAATTAAGAGATTATTGTTGACAAAATGGTGACCACCAGTGGTAGATTAACTCAGTTTGGGCAATTATTGTATTATATATCTGTGATTATATATAAATGTTCTACTCACAAACTTCTAACATCTAGCGAGCTCCTACTTACATCAAATTCAAGAAAAAAACAACTTACCATAGTGCGTCTTACCTTTTCCCGACTTCCTTTTTTCTAAGCAAAAATTCAAATGTTTTAGCAGAAAATACGATTTGGCTTTAGGTATCATAAAAATATAGATATAATTAAAGAATAAATTATAATTTTGTTAAAAGGAATGTGACGCAGACCTACTATTGTTTACAAAATTTGATCATAGTACATTGTTCTGAATTAGTTGATCTGATATAACATCTGGAGAACTCCAGGTAAAGCAATTTTCCACAGTGTTCACCAAAAAATCCACAAGAAATTATTTTTTTTTATTATTGAGATCGAAAAATGGCTTTTTGTAATTCATTATAATGAAAAATTCCAGCAAAAATATGTTTTTTTTTTGCTGGAATTTCATCATGTTGGTTATTAAAAATGCTGGATTAATTAGGCCATAAACTTTTTTCTCAATAATAAAAAATATTCTATTTGCTCAGCTCTTTTTAGAACACACTGTGATATTTTAGAAGTTACCTTTTTATCATACCTTAAGCCTAAAAAAATAAACATAATACTGTAAACTTTGTTTCAATATTATGTGGAATATTTTGAATCCTAGCCGAAAATACTGGGTACGCCCCTGACCAACTCACCTGCAAACTAAACCTCCTGTGCTGGGCTTTCCTGCCGCCGCGCCTTTTGGATATGTGTGGGTTGTCCCTGCAGATAGTTTTGGCTTTGAACATTTCCAGTTGCAGGTAAAGTCTCTTGAGCTCGGCCCTGATATCGTCGGGGCTCATCTCCGCTATCGAAATCTCCCCCATTTCTGCGTGTCACTGTTGTTGCCTGATAAGCTACGATGCGATGTGGGGTCCTAGCATAAGAGAAATAAGACAACTATAGATGCAACATATTAGAGTTAAAATAATCTAAAGTAAGTTATTTTGTGATTTAAATTGATAATAGTTTAAATCGTAAACATAATAATATAATATAATAATAGCTCCCGTATATAGCGTTTAACGCCTTGGGAGTAGCAAGGTACAGCTTGCCATGCTAGGGCCGTTCGGTATACAAGGAAAGTAATGGCTTCCCCATTAGCACTACGCTTCAACCGCCTATTATTACCTCAAGATTGTGAATCCCAAGTACTCATTTAAGGCTGAGTCGACTTAGGTACCCAAACTATTTTCATTTTAAGAAAAATAGTCGGCTGATGAAATGCCGGGTGTAGGATTCGAACCCACTACCATGAGATTGGTAGACGAGAGCCTGTACCTCTACGCCACTGAGTACCATATCGTAAACATAAAAAAACATAAAAAAAGGCAACACCGCAAAAGTCTTGCATGCTCGATCTTGGTCACCGGTGGGTCTTAGTCTTAGTCTTACAGACTTAAAGCTAGTCTTGGTGTTTGTCTTGGTCTTGCTTAAGGCCGCAGAACCCAGTCTCGCTGGACACTATTATAGCGGGTGTTTCTCAAAAGTGTCTCACTCCTATAACTTTTTATTTTTTTCAGATAAAAAAACGAGATTTGGCACGTTAGTATATGACATAAACTAGGATTTATTGACGTATTTAATTGTTTGCGGCTACTTCCTGTTTCACAGGAAATGACAACAAACTTTTGATCCATAATTGGCGTACTTTTTAATTTCATCATCATGATCATCATCAACTAGCTGCTAAAGTCCACTGCTGGGCGTAGGCCTCCCTCGTTTGCTTCCATACCTCCCTATCTTGAGTTATTTGCATCCAGTTACTGAGGATACGCTTTAAGTCGTCATGCCATCTGGTTGGAGGACGGCCTCTGCTCCTGAATGCATCATGTCGATCTCCATTCTATTATTTTCTTCGTCCATCGGTCATCGTTTAGCCTTGCAATGTGCTCTGTCCAATTCTATTTCAAAGTAGTTATTTTCTCCATGGCATCCGTGACTTTTGTTCTGTCTCCCCCGTACTTCGATATTCGGTACGTTGTCTCTCAGAGATAGGTTCAGCATTGATCTTTCCATTGCTCTTTGCGTTATTCTGATTTTGCTTACAGTTTTCTTGGTTAATGTTAGGGTCTCCGCACCATATGTTAGAACAGGTAGTACGCATTGATTGAATACCTTCCATTTGTTTTTTTTATTCTATAGAAAGTGACACTCTGAATAGAATGACATATATATGTCAACTTTTGACAGTTTCGCATATGGTTTATTTGAACCAAAAAACAATTGAACACATGAATCAATCCTAATTTAAAATGGCGTCAGAAATGCCTATGAAATGAAGATCGCTGTCATTTTATATGTAACATTTTACGGGAAACGTCATCGAGCGTCTTTTCAAGCGAACTGACGCTGTCTTTTAAAAAAATTTACATATAAAATGACTTCGATCTTTATTTCATAGCCATCGCTGACGCCGTTATTTTTCGATCATACGGTACATACTATTAGGATAGTCAATATAAAATTAAAATACCTTAAAAGCATCTAAAGGAAATCGGCATGAGTATTCCTGCCCCAACGATCGTACTTGTTTCTGTTGGTACCAAAATTTGGGCAGGAAAATCAGTACTAGTAGTATCGTCTGCGACAATTGGGTCCTTATGCAGTAGATTATTAGAACTAGGTTTGGATGGAGTTCGTGCAGGACTATAGCTCTAGCGGTGTAGAAAATGGCACTTACAGCTAATTCTAGGCTAATGGCTGCGCACAAAAAGCTTCTCTCCTGCAACAATCAAAATATTATTTAGTAACAAAAGCAGCAGAGTCTTATCTTGAGGTAGTGATCGAAGTTGTCATAAAACAAATTATATATACAAATTATAAGATTACAGTTGGGGGTTGTAACCCTTGGTGTTACAACAGAAAATTGAGTAAAGAAAGTAGTATTAGTAATCTGGAATGGGAATCCTCCAACGGTCTAAGACACTAGAAGAAATTTCTTAGAACTAACGACCGACAAAAATTGATTTAAGTAAGAACAATTTTCGGATTATCTCGGGGGTTTTAAGGTTGATTCTCACTATTCCTTCCGTTTCCATTCCATATCCGTTCCGTATTTTTTATTGTATAGACGCTATACGTAAGCTTTCGTTCTGTATCAGTTCCATACTTTTTATTGTACAGTTTATATCATTACGAAAGTTTTATTTAAAAAATTTGTATTTTTGAAAAAGGTAATAGATTTAATTAAGAGGTGAAAGAACAAATAAATATCAGCAAAATTTTAACAGAGTTGGTACAAATGTAAGGACTTGACGCTGTTTCTGATACGCTTAAGCCCCTCCGCCAAAAAAATGTATGAGAGGAAAGGATATGGAACGGAAGGGAAACGGAACGGATAGTGTGCATTGTCCTGTTCATTCGACAGGACGACAACCATTCGTGCCATAAACTTTGGTACGAATGATATCGGAGATAGAGAACTATCTTCTGTAAAGCCCTCTTAGACACTGTTAAACTGTCAACTTTGTTGCCCTGAGAAAATGTAGAATATTCTACAATCATCCAGATCAATTTTCACTAGTAATACCACTAGAAGTCAAATTATTTCCGGAAATTTTTTCGAGCTCATGAATATTTTGAAAATTATCCCGAGTCGAAAACGAGGGATATATTATGATATATGATATTATGATTTTTACTCATCGTAGTTACACGATAATGCAGTTTTTTTAAAGAAATATATTACATTCTTTGATTTTTTATTTACTCTGGGCTACTATAAGTAGTAGAAAATAAAAAAATTATTGTTCTATAGATACATACATGAACAGATTCAGTTTGTCTTGTCACCAATGGATTCTTAGCCTATAAACTGTTTATTTCTACTGATTGTAGTAGCTCAAAAGTGCCATTTTGGGACCTAAAATATTATATTCTTTCATTTTATAGTTACTTGGGCTTACTACAACTGTTAGAAAATCATAATTTAAAAGGTTTTTCGGAACGCTGCATGAATAGATTCACAGCGCGTCACAGTTTTGGCAGCAATTTAGACCTTTAAATTGTTGACTTCTACTCGTTGTAGTTGCACGAAAATACCATCTCAAGACACAACACAATATATTCTTTAATTTTACATAAGTTTTGAGTAACTAAAAGTGGTAGAAAATTGCTTTTTTGCATTTTTATTAACTTTTCATAAACGCTTTATTGGTATGGAATTCATAACCAGCGCGCAGCGTCAGCAAGCGTCAATCATAAAAGGCTGTGATTATCGTATATTGATAGTTCAAAATATCAGAAAAACTCGCGTTTTGTTGTAATAAAAAATATTGTGCAGCTTGAAAAACCAACAAAATTCTTTGTTTTAAAAACGAATCGGTTTGAAAATCATACTAAATTGTCTGATGTAATGATCAATCATCGTGCGATGACTTATTTACGCGCATTAATAGAGGATTGTGGCTCCTACTTGAAGAAAGAAAATTTGTTTCGAATTGTTCACGAATATTTGCATCTAAACTACTCAAAATTCAAAGTGCTAAATGGAAAAAAGGTGAATAAAATAGTGTCTAAATATTATATATATTTCATTAGACATAGTCATTTAATTTAGTCCATTCCAAGTCCTACATTTTCGTCATTAAGAAGAAGGGAGGTGTCCAAAGAATATAGAAAACATCTCAGCTGTGTAATTGAAATGTATCAAAATTATTATGTAAACAAATAAAAACCAGGCTCTCAAAAAGATATTCTGTCATTATAAACGTCAAAAAATTTCCAGTATAACTCGCTGTTGGGTGCCCACAAGGAAAACATTTTCACTAAAATTTATCCGTTGCCATGGTGATTTGTCAAAAAAACACGTTTTGATTGGTTAAAAATTACAAGTGTAGAATTTTCAAGAAAAAATATCTGTGGAATGCTAAAATATGAAATTCAAAAGTTTGCTTCTTATGCCCGGTCCAGACCAAGGCGACAAAAAGTAAACACGATTTTGAGACAAAAACAAGACAAACTTGAGACAAAAAATGGGGAATTCTGACAAGACAAACTTGAGACAAATTGCCCACACTGCAAGGATAAAAGTACAACAAAGTAAAAAGTTTTGTTGTTGCAAATGAGTTTTATTAACCATGATTTTACTGGTCTCCTGCTGTTGGCAGCACATGCCATCCACACTGCGCGGACAACTTGTCGTAAAATATACGAAGAAAACATAGACACTTTGATCTTTACCGACTCGAGACGGGACATTGAAAAGTCTCCGAATTTTGAAACTAAACAAAACTGAGACAAAAATGTCGCAGAAATGTATTGGATTTGTCGCAATTTTTTCGTAAAACATGAATGTTTCTGTCTTGTCGTTGTTGTGTCTGCTTATTCTGGACCCGGCATTACTTTCAATTAAACCGTTATCAATGAGTGGCATAATTTTATGGAACCATCCTTTTTTTTTGATGCACTGAGAAATTATTAAGTAATTTGACACAGTCACAACACAGTATACTAAATATCACCAGCCTAGAGTCCGTGATTATACTAGTCTTATTACTAAAGATTTCCGTACTAAGTCCAATTATCCAGCGTGTTTAGTATTGAAGGAAGTTGGAAAGCCGCAGGATTAGACAAACTCCTCTATACAAGAAACTTCTCGAGTTATAGATCTCTGATATGTCTCTTGCCTCTAAGCTCATCCTGCATTAGATGCAGTTTGAGTTTGCATATATTTACATTATACAGATATACGTATACGCAGTGGCGGTGCATGGTTAAATACTTCAGGGTTGCACAACTTGTCAAAACACAATAGTCAATACTCTTTAAAATCTTTATAGATTTGGTGATTGGTTTTTATCCTAATTGTCAATAGTCC